TAACAACTTTACACATATAAATTCAACAACTTTGAAGAATTGAACTAATTCCCTGAAAACCACAAATTACCAAAATTCAAGAAAGATGAAACAGATACTCTGAACAGTCGTATAACCATTAAAGAAACTAAATTCATAATTTAAAAGTTCCCTATAAAATAAATCTCCAGGCCCAGATGACTTCACTGGAGAATTCTACCAAGCATTTAAAGAATTAACACCAATTTTACACAATCTCTTCCAGGAAACAGAAAAGGAAGAAATACTTCCAAAATCATTTTATGAAGTCAGCAGTACCCTGATACCAAAATCAGACAAAGATAGGACAGAAAAAAGAAAACTATAGACTGATATCTCTCATGAAAACAGACACAAAAATTCTCAACAAAATGTTAACAAATCAAATCCAGAAACGTATAAAAAGAATTATACACCATGACCAAGTAGGATTTTATTTCAGATGAACAAGGCTGGTTCAGCAGAAAATCAACATAATCCAGCATATGAAGAGACTAAAAAGAAAAGCATGATCATATCAATTGACACACAAAAAACAGCTTGCCAAAATCCAACACCCATTCATGATAAAAACTCTGAGGAAACTAGGAATGGAGGGGAACTTCCTTAACTTTATAAAAAGGCATCTACAAAAATCCAACAGCTGACATCATACTTAATGATGAAACATTGAATATTTGCTCCTTAAGACTGAGAACAAGGCAAGGACGTCTGCTCTCTTCACTCTTATTCAACACAGTACTGGAAGTTCTAGCCAATTTAAAAACATAAGAAAAAAAAAAAAAGGCATAAAGATTAGAAAAAGAAGAAATAAAACTGTTCCTATTTATAGATGACACAATTGTATACACTGAAAATCCCAAGGAATCTATGAAAATATTCCTGGAACTTATTAACAAGTTAGCTCATCAAGGTCAAAGGCTACAAGATCAACCACATTTCTGTATATCAACAACAAACGTGAAAATTGAAATTAAAATCATAATTACATTTAAAATCACTCCAAGAAAATGAAATACTTAGACGCAAAGCTAACAAAACGTGTGCAAGATTTGTATCCTCAAAACTGTAAAACAATGATGAAAGAAGTCAAAGAAGACCTAAACAAATGTAGAGACATACTGCGTTCATGGACTAGAGGACTCAACAAGATGTTAACTCTCCTCAAACTAATCTATAGTTTTAATGCAATTCCTAGGAAAATCCCAGTATGGTTTTAGTACATATAGACAGGCTTAATCTTAAATTTACATGGAAAGGCAACAGAACTAGAACAGCTAAAATAATTTTGGAATAGAAGAATGAAGTGGAAGGAATCACTCTATCCAATGTTAGATCTTACTATACAGCTACAGTCATCAAGACAGTGTGGTATTGACAGAGACAGACACATAGATCAATGGAACAAATGGAGAACCTAGAAATAAGACCCACAAAAACATGCTAAACTGATTTCCTAACAAAGATGCCAAAGCAATTCAATGGAGTTTGATAACCTTTTCAACAAATGGTGCTAAAGCAATTAGGAACCCACAGGCAAAAAAGAGATCATGGACTTATATGTAAAACATAAAACTCTAAAACTTTTAGGAAAAAAGAAACAGTAGAAGGAAAACATGAGGACCTACAGCAAGGCAAAGTTCTTTGACTTGATACCCAAAGCATAATCTATAAAAAGAAAAGCTGATAAACTGGTCTTCATCAAAATCTGTTAGTGAACAACTAGCCCTATTATTAGGATTTTTTAAATAACAAATTCCTCCCCTAACTATGTTGGTTAGATTTCTGAAAGCAGTGATGGTGTAAGACTCTACAATTGAGGAACTTAAGACTTACAGGAAAAATAGGGTTAGAGGACTGAGGTTTTGAGTAAATCTAGAAAAGTTTTTATAAGCATTTTTAGATGGAAGAAAACAGAATCCAAACAACATAATAAATATATAATATCATATGGCTTTATTAGCCATAATAGATTTTTGTATAACCCATACTGTTCCAAAGAAATAATTAAAAATCAGTTTTCATAATAAGACAAAGATGCCCACTCTTACCACCTTTATTCAAAATAGTACTGGAAGTCTTAGGAAGAGTAATTAGGCAAGAAAAAGAAACAAAGGAATCCAAATCAGAAAGTAAGAAGTAAAACTGTCTCTACTTGCAGATTGCATGATATTATATATAGAAAACTCTAAAGATTCCACCAAAAAACTGTTAAAGTTGTAGGATACAAAGCCAGTATACACAAATCAGTTGCATTTCTATACACTAATAACAAACTATCGGAAAGAGAAATTAAGAGAACAATCTCATTTACAATTGCATAAAGAAAATAAAATACCTAGGAATAAACTTAACCATGGAGCTAAAGACCTGTATGCTGAAAACTGTAAGACACTCATGAAAGAAAGTAAAGAAGATACAAAGAAATGGAAAGATACTCCATGCTCATCGACTGGAAGAATTAAGATAGTTAAAATGTCCATACTATCCAAAGCAACCTACAGATTCAGTGCAATCCATATCAAAATTCCAATAGTATTTTTCACAAAAATAGAATAAACAATCCTAAAATTTGTATGGAACCACAGAAGACCCCCAAATAGCCAAAGCAATCTTGAGAAAGAAGAACACAGCTGGAGGCATCACACTTCCTGATTTCAAACTATGTTACAAAGCTATAGTAATCAAACAGTATGGTTTGGGCACAAAAACAGACACTTAGATCAACAGAACAGAACAGACAGCCCAGAAATAAAGTCATGAATATGGTCAATTAACTTATGTCAAAGGAATCAAGAATATACAATGGGAAAAGGACAGTCTCTTCAATAAATGGTGTTCAGAAAACTGGACAGCGACAAGCAAAAGAATTAAACTAAACCACTATCTTATACCATACACAAAAATTAACTCAAAATGGATTAAAAACTTGAACATAAGACCTGAGATCATAAAACTCTCAGAAGAAAACGTACAGGGCAAGCTCCTTGACATAGGTCTTGGCAATGATTTTTTGTATTTGACACTAAAAGCAAAGGCAACAAAAACAATTATAAACAAGTGGGACTATATCAAACTAAAAAGCTTCTGCTTAGCAAAGGAAACTATCAATATAAAAAGGCAATCGACAGAATGAGAGAAAATATTTGCAAATTATCTGATAAGGGGTTAATATCCAAAATATACAAAAAACCCACACAACTCAATAGAAAAAACCAAACAAATTAAAAAATAGGCAGGAGATCTGAACAGCCACTTTTGCAAAGACATACAGATGGCCAACAGGTACATGAAAAGGTGCTCAGCATTACTAATCCCACTAATCATCAGGAAAAGGCAAATCAAAAGCACAATGAGATATCACCTCACACCTGTCAGAAAGGCTATTATCAAAAACACAAGAAATAAGTGTTGGCAAGGATGTGGAGAAAAGAGAACCTAGGTGCACTGTTGGTGGGAATGTAAATTGGTGCAGCCACTATGGAAAACAGTATGCAGGCTCCTCAAAAAATTAAAACTGGAACTACCATCTGATCCAGCAATTCTACTTCAGGGTATTTATCCAAAGGAAACAAAAACACTCTCTCCAAAAGATATCTGCACCCTACGTTCACTGCAGCACTATTTGCAACAGCCAAGACATGGAAACAACCCAAATGTCCATCAATGGATAAATGGATAAAGATGATGTGGTGTATATACATACAATGGAACATTATTCAGCCATAAAAAAGAAGGAAATCCTGTCACTTGCAACGACATGGACAGACTGTGAGGGCATTATGCTAAATGAAATAAGTCAGACAGAGAAAGACAAATACTGTATGATCTCACTTATGTGTAGAATCTAAAAAAACAAAACAAAAACAAAAATCAAAAAAACCCTGAACTCAGATACAGAGAACAAACTGGTGGGTGCCAGAGGAAGGGAGTGAGGGGCTGGCTGAAATGAGTGAAGGTGGTCAAAAGGTACAAACTTCCAGTTATAAGGTAAATAAGCCCTGGGGATGTAACATACAGCATGGTGACTGTATTAACAACATATATTTATTCAAATATACTAACAATACTGTATTGTATATTTGAAAGTTGCTAAGAGAGTGAATATTAAAAGTTCTCATCACAAGAAAAAAATTTGCAACTGTGTCGTGATGACTGTTAACTAGACTTACTGTGATCATTTTGCAATATATACAATATCAAACCATTATGTTGTGTACCTAAAATAACAATGTTATACGTCAATTATCTCTCAAAAAAATAATAAAATGTTCTTATCAAAAACAAAATAAGGCAAAACTGAAAATGTCAGTATCTTCTAAATTCCTGTTCTACCGTTAAAGTTCAGATTCATCGGAGGGAAAAAAATCCATTTTCTTTTCTTAAAGATATTAAGTATTTTTTAAATTTCCCTATGTCTGAACTTCCATCCTACCTACCTTTCTATTCAATACTTTTATGATTCAATAACTTAGAATAATTGACTCCTACTTCTATGATAGAAATGCTTTCAATAACTGCTAAATTCTTATTTTTATAAACCACAAACTTCTTCATTGTACACAATGTTCTATAATCTTAGCATCTCTCTCCATAACAAATTTTATGCTAAATTCATAATACAGCCCTCTAACACAAGACTCCTCAGACTAATTTTTCCACTGCCCACTTCCCATAACACCAATGGGCCTCAGGGTATAGTTCCAAAATCTAAGTTTGTATTTATCAGCTTCCTTTCTCTTCTGAGAGTTCACCGAAAAAACTTCCTGTTGTGCAAGCTGCTTTTTCTCCCTTTTTCTATTCCCAAGCTCTATTCTCTTTATATAAGTATTTCCAACAGGAGGTTGCAGAATATATTTTCGAATTTAAACGCTGGTGCTTGAGGAAATTGTATATAGAAGTAAATCCATCTATATTAGCAGTCTTCAGAGAACTGGTGATTGGGGAAGAATTCCCATTTCTTATAAACATTTTCCAGTTACCTGACTCCTGTTTGATTTGAATGGTAGGCTTGATACCAGGTGGCAAAGGAGACTGCTGAGGCTGTTGCTGATGAGATACTGGAGAAGGCTGAGCCACCTGTTGCTGTGTCTGTTGCTGCACTGGATGTAACTGCTGCTTAGGAGATTGCTGATGCTGTTTAGGAAACTGTGCAAGAATCTGAGTTGGGGCACCCACTAAGCTTTTGGGGGAAGGAAGTCTAGTTGATGCCATTTTGATTGCTGATGTAGATACACCTGTGAAAGAGTTAGGAAAAAGAAAATTTAATAGTAAAGCATAATTAAAGTTACTACTGGTTATTGTAGTAGATATCAGTGTAAAGACTAGGTAAATCAATAAAAACTATGATTTATTAAGCACCTAGTAAGTATCAGATACAATGGGTGCTATTTTACATATTTGATATCTAGTTCTCAAACTTTGCAAGGGAGGCATCGTTGCTCTCACACCCAAAAAAACTAACTGATTTTCCCTTGGTGAAGAATTAGAATGAGGGGCCGGGCTGGTGGTACAACAGTTAACTTTGTGCGCTCCACTTCAGATCCTGGGCACAGCCCTACGCACTGCTTGTCCAGCCACGTTGTGGCAGGTGTCCCACATACAAAGTACAGGAAGATGGGCACGGTTGTTAGCTCAGGGCCAATATTCCTCAGCAAAACGAGGAGGATTGGCAGTGGATGTTAACTCGGGGCCAACCTTCCTCAGAAAAAAAAAGTTAGAATGAAAAAGTATCAGGCAGGATGTTCTCATACATGTCTCTCAACAGATTTTCTGTTAGAAAATATAGCTTCTCAATGTGAATAATATAAGAACAAAGCAACCTAAATTTTGAATCTCATTTGTAGTACATTTTTTCAAATATTACTTTTCAAGTTCTAATGAGCCAATTTTAACACAGCATTACATAAAATAATTCCCAATGAAACAGTCACCTTTTGAACTACTATTTAGCATGGCAAAATAGCTTTTCCATAGCTCATTTCCAATAATCTATAACTTAAGGGCATTTCTTGAGAATTCTACCTGGATCATTAAATTAGCATGTGGAACGTTAACAAAGGGGCACACTCAATATACTCACAGGAAAAAATCTTCATGATTTAAGGTTTTAAGACATTTCTTTCCAGTGCAATGCTAATATTAGCATGCATAGATAAGAAGTACTAATAACCTCCACTAAAGATGTAGAGTTTGAGAGAAATTCTTCCATCTGCCAGATTTTTCATCAGTAATCTTCTTACAATTCATCAACAACTCAACAGGACTATTACCTGTAAATGAACTAATATTCCTAACAGAAAGAACCAGGAATATAACTGGCCATATCAACTTTTTCAGCACTGCTAAAACAATGGAAAGAAACTGATAAATAAACAGCCTAGTTATCAACTTATTAGGCTATACACCTTCCTCCACCATAGGCCCACCACTACATTGCATTACAGAAAAATTTAAAATATATCACACTGTTATGTAAAATGTGTCTGGAGAATGATAAAGTTGGAGAAGAAACCTTGAGAAGTCACTCTGACTCTCTGGGCCTCAGCTTCCCCATTTCTTGAATTTTCATTGCCCTAAAAGTCTCTAAGGGTTGCTGTGTGGATCAGGTAAAATCGCAGATTGAAGAATACTTTGAGAGGAGACAAAAGGGGTAGTCAGAATCACCCGGAGGGCTTACTCACATTACTTACACATCCCCCTACCATTCCTCCATGAATACTAGTATTTTGGAGACATGTGTGTGCTCTATTGCTTAGCCATATTGAACTAGATTATCTCTGGAGCTGCTTTACGCATCAACATTTTATGACTCAATGAGTATAAAGTGTTATGCAAGTGAAAGATGCTATTTTTAAACTATTTAAAAGCTTTAACCTTTATTCTGCGTCCATAATAAACTCCAGTATTAACTGAGTCAATTTTGTACATGGGTAACTCCCTAACTAAACTATGTTCTCCATATACTTTTGATTAGGAAAACTATCTGATGTAAAAGCAGTCAGGGTGACTTTAGAGTCAGAGAATTGTGTTCAGATCATGTCTTCAGGGAGCTAATGTCAGCATCATGGCAGAGTGAGCTTCCCCAGTAATCTCTCCCCTCCAACATACAATGAAAAGGGCATCCATACGCCAACAGAGGACGTCCAACACAACACAAAAAACGTCGGAGAGACCCACGCAGCAATACAACAGAGGGTGGAGATGTTGGAGGCCCCTCGGAGGAGGTGGAATGGGATAAGAGAAAACTTTGCTCCTTCCCATAAAGACTGCAATCTGGGACTCCAGGAGGCCTCTGAGAGGGAAGGAACGGGTGAGGGGATGTTCATTTGTGGGAGCTCAAGGATCCCCAGTGGGCCCTTGCAGCCTAGAGGGAAGCTCGCTAGCGGGGTGAAAGCTTTCGCAGGGGGTGACCTTATGCATCCAACACACCAGGAAAGCAGATAGTGAGAGCAGAGGCCCCTCCCCCCACTCACCGAGCACCGGCTCCAGCGCCTGGGATTTCAGTGGAAGGCAGAGGTTCAGAATACATGCCTCTTGCCCCCCCACCCAGTGGTGATAGGCGGTAACTGCAACCAAATAATACCAGGATGGTAAAAACAGAGCCACACCCTCTAGCAATATCAAACATTATATTACATCTCCAGACCAGAGAGAAAATGACAAGTATCCACACATCAGTTCTGAGGACACAGAAATATGTAATCTAAATGACAATGAAATCAAAATAGCTATAATAAAAAAATTCAACGAGTTAAAAGAGAATGTAGAGAAACCATTCAATGAGTTCAGGAGCTACTTCACAAAAGAGATTTAAACTATAAAGAAGAATCAATCAGAAATATGAGAGATGAAAGACACAATGGAAGAAATAAAACAAAATATGGATTCCCTGAATACTTGAGCAGACACCACAGAGGAGCGTATCAGCATAATCAAAGCTAGACACGTTGAAATGCTGCAGATAGAGAAGGAGACAGAACTAAGACTAAAAAGAAGTGAAGAAAGTCTCCGAGAAATATCCCACTCAATTAGGAAATGCAACATAAGAATTGTAGGTATTCCAGAAAGAGAAGAGGAGGAGAATGAAGCAGAAGGCTTGTTCAAAAAAATAATAGCAGAGAATTTCCCAAACCTAGGGAAGGAGCTGGAAATCCATGTGGAAGTGGCTAACAGATCTCCTAAATATGTTAATGTAACAAAAGACCTACTGCAAGGCATATAGTAGCGAAACTGGCAAAACTGAATGATAAAGAAAGAATACTAAGGGCAGCAAAGCAGAAGAAAATAACATACAAACAATCCCTATCAGGCTTTCAGCAGATTTCTCTGCAGAAACCTTGCAGGCTAGGAGAGACTGGAATGACATACTCAAATCTTTGAAGGACAAAACTTTCAGCCAAGAATACTCTATCCAGTGAAAATATCCTTCAGATATGATGGAAAAATAAAAACTTTCCCAGACAAATATAAACTAAGGGAGTTCATAGCCATGAGACCCCCCCCCCCCGCCCCCACTACAAGAAATCCTCAAGAAGGCCCTCATACCTGACCAAAAAAAGGGGGGGGGAGAGAAAGGGGATACAAAGCACAGAATAAAGAGATAAATAGGTAGACAGACTCAGAGCAGAACAGCAAATATTCAAGTATAGCATTAAAGACAAAGAGACGGAAAACACCAAAAACAAAGATAATCTTGTCATTTTAACTGGAAAGACATAACACAAGATGGAATAATATGTGAGAAAAACAACTTAGGAGGCGAAGAGGAAAGTGACTGAATTGGTTTACTCTAAGGAAATAAGAGGCCATCAGAAAAGAGACTATCTTATCCACGAGATTTTGAATACAAACCTCATGGTAACTACTAAATAAAAAAGCAGAACAGAGACACAAATAATACATAAGGAGAAAACAAAGAAATACAACATAAAAAACTACATAACTTGACTGGCAGACCAAAATACACAGGACAAGAAACAAAAGAAATACAGGAGAATCAGAAAACAAATGATAAAATGGCAGCATTAAGCCCTCATGTATCGATAATCACCCTCAACATAAATGGACTGAATTCTCCAATAAAAAGACACAGAGCGGCAAGATGGATTAAAGAAAACACCAAAGAATATGCTGCCTCCAGGAAACACATCTCGGCTCCAATGACGAACACAGGCTCAGAGTGAAGGGATGGAAGATGATACTCAAAGCTAATGGCGAACAAAGAAAGCAGGTATCACAATACTTATATCAGACAAAGTGGACTTCAAGATAAGACAGGTAAAGAGAGACAAAGAGGGGCAATATATAATGATCAAAGGGGCATTCCATCAGGAAGAAATAACACTTATAAATATCTATGCACCAACACAGGAGTACCAAAGTACATAAAGCAACTATTAACAAACCTAAAAAAAGCTATTAATAATAAGACAATAATAGTAGGGGTAGGGGACTTCAACACTCCACTCAGATCAATGGATAGATCCTCCAGACAGAAAATCAACAAGGAAACAGTGGAATTAAATGAAAACCTAGACCAGTTGGACTTAACAGACATATACAGAACACTCCATCCAGAAAGAGCAGAATACACATTCTGCTAAAGTGCTCACAGAACATTCTCAAGGATAGACCATATGTTGCAAAACAGGGCAAGCCTCAATAAATTTAAAAAGACTGAAATAATAAGAAGCATCTTGTCTGATCACAATGCTATGAAGCTAGAAATTAATTACAAGAAAAAAGCTGACAAAGGGACAAAGATGTGGAGACTAAACAATATGCTAGTGAACAAGCAATGGATCATTAAAGAAATTAAAGGAGAAATCAAAAAACATCTGGAGACAAATTAAAATGAAAATATACCATGTCAACTCATATGGGATGCAGCAAAAGCTGTATCAAGAGGAAAAGTCATCGCAATACAGGCTCCCCTTAACAAATAAGAAAAATCCCAAAAAAGTAATCTCAAACTACACCTAAGTGAATTACAAAAAGAAGAACAAACAAAGCCCAAAATCAGCAGAAGGAGAGAAATAATAAAAATCAGAGCAGAAATAAATGCTATTGAAACAAAAAAGGCAGTAGAAAGGATCAATGAAACAAAGAGCTGGTTCTTTGAGAAGGTAAACAAAACTGACAAACCCCCAGCCAGACTCACAAAGAAAAAAACAGAGGGGGCTCAGATAAATAAAATTAGAAATGAAAGAGGAAAAATAACAATGGATACCACAGA